TGGATGCTACAACAAGGAAGTCAAGAGAGGCTGCCAAATCTTAGCAAATTGGGTGGTACTGTTTTTCAAAATAAATCTAATCTTCTCTAAGTGTGGAGTGTTCACTTCAACTCACTCAGCCAAAGCTTAGTTGTAGGAATCGTTTTCTTTCTGAACAAGAGCATTTCGCAACAATGCAGGCATAAAGCCCTCCTGCAGTTGGTGATGGGTATTCCTAACCTTGTGAGAAGGAGAGTGAAAAGCTTGTAATGAATCATAGGAATAGGATACTTTATATATCTAATTCAAGGTCACCTTAAAATAGTTAGCCATAATTGGGTATGAAATTTTTTGGACAGTGTCTGTTTTGTAGATACTGAAGTTATTCCTGGGAAATAGACATACAGTCATATGCATAAGTTTAACATTCTCAGTCAAATTAGTTCATTTTCTAAGTGAAAATAAGTGAACACATCTTATACAAACTTAAATATGACATTTTTCTGCAAATGTCAGCGCACAATTTCTATCCATTTGCTGAATTTCACACATTGGAAAAAAATGAAACATACAATATAAAAGGTGCCATAACATTTGCACAGGTCGCATTTCATGTTTTATTTATTTCACACACACATTATCTAAGCCACTTATCCTTCTGGGTAATGGGGGGGTGGGTTGCTGGAGCCTGTCCCAGCTGTCATTGGGTGGAAGGCAGGAAACACCACACATCAACAAAACACGTCATTTGACCAGGGTCGCCTAAACTTTTTAATACAACTGTACCTCTATGTTCATTAAAGGAAATGGAAACCCCTCCAAGTAAAGATTTTCTATGTTTTGGATACCATAAGCCCTCCAATGATCAAATGTGAACAGGTAAAAGGATTAAAAATCCGCTCTAAATGTATCTAATTTTACTGCAGACAACAGTACAAGAGTATTCACAAGTAGTATATAAGGGTGACAGTTTCCCCTTGCCATATGGCGCTAAGTGGAAGAAGTCAGTGTACAGTCCTGCCACGTAGAGATATGGATGGCAAATGGATGTCTGAAGCCCTGTAGGAAAGGTTGAGAAAAGTAAGCCCCTTTCTCTTTTGGATTTACGCAGGTGTTCCTTGTTGATTTGGTGAGATTTCTAATCCCATAAAAAAAATTTTTGACAAACAATTGAGTCAAGTTGTCTAGGTCAGGAGTTTTGAGATGTTTTGGAAAAGATTTTGTATTGTGGGAGAAATACCGTTTTTACAGCATTGATTCATCCAACAACGGCAGCCAAAATTCAGTGCTTGGGAGTAGGGGATTTGCTTTAAATTATAATGAAAATTGTTTGGTGACTGTAAAGTCTAAGGATGTGGTGCCAGAGCCATTTAAATTGACATTTTTACAGCTTATGAATACTGTGAGATCCTATGGGCATTATTTCACTTTTTGAACAGTTTATTCTCTGGCCTGAGAAGCCTCCAAACTAGTCAATTAATCTGAAAATATTGGAATGGTGGATTAGATGTGCTACAAGCAAAACGTCATTGCATAAAGTGTTGTTTTTTTAAAGAACTACTGGAGCTGCAGTTGTGGACTGAGTTGATATGCTTGTGTTGCCTCAGCCAAGGGTTCTATGGCCAAAGCAAAAGTAAGAAGAGGCAGTGATATATGCAAATGATCTCTGTTCTGATTGCCTGTCTTGTATCTTGTGCACCTCATTCAAACAGCAGTTTGGGCCAAAACACTCTTAACTTCAGGGTGAACGGGGGGGGCTAGACTGCTGTAGGCTGAATAGGTGGAAATATGTAAATGTACTGTGTTTTGTGACATTTTTTTTTGCTGTTTTTTCTTAGTTTCCACATATAGATTATACTGACTGGGGGGTAAATGGTATGTTTTAAAAGTCTGAAAGGCCTTTTAATTACTTAGCTATGTACATTTCGATATAGCAGGCTAACAAAGCAGAACAAACTGGCACCAGCAGCTGTTCATACAGGTGTCATGTTAACATTAGCTAGCTAGCAAACCAGCTTGTTAAACTAAGTGGCTATCATCAGTTAGGCAGCACTACTACAAAGGATCGCGGTGGGGTGCTGGAGCCTATCCCAGCTGTCATTGGGCGGAAGGCCAAGACCCAGAAGGATAAGCGGTTTAGATGATGTATGTATGTATGTATGTATGTACTACAAAGGAATTTATATTTCAAAAAATATCATTTGACGTGACCACATGGTGCCAGTGTTTTGATAGGTGGTTTCCTAAAGTTAAGAACTGTTGCAACTGAGTTTCAAACAAGTTTCAAATGAGTTACAGGGGCTTTATCTTGCAAAGTCAAATTTATGTTCATGTAAGTTTCAAGCAGCTAAAGTCAGCCCTAGTAACCAGCACCAACACCTGCACAAACACACACACAAGTTCTTCTCACGGCGCTGTGGCTGTGTAAACACATTGCAGTAACTACTCGCAGCTCTATGGAAGTCCCTCCCCATGGAAAGTGTGGATGTGTCTGCGTACCTTCCGACATGTCGCAGAACAGGCGAGAGAGATGAATTGCTTCAATAAAAGCGCTGATGGATGAAGCTAAGTGCCCGTTAAGTGGTCTCGGAGGGACACGCGCCGACAAATGAAACACATCTGGAGAAGTTGAGGGGATCCTGCAGCGAGGCTTATGGCACTCACACACTTATACACTCAGACCTAGCCCTGTCACTCGCTTTCTCCACAATAACACCCTTAAATAAACCTCTGCCAAGTACCATTCAATAAAACTTAAAGGTACAATAAGAAGATGTGATAGAAGACCTGGTAGAAACATTTTAGAGCTAAACATAACTCTAGTAATATAATAAATTATTATTATAAACATTATTGTGCCAATAACTCCAAGGTATAGTCTGTACAGGTAAATCAAATATGAAATCTTCTGAGAGACTATACTCTATGAGAAACATCAGTAATATCACATTTGTGGAAACAATCCAAACAAGAACGTATTTCCAGAACTTTAGGCTTTAATGGTAGGTTGGTAGGTGTACAACAATACTACAGTGTAAGACCACATACAAAATCGGCCTGTCAAAGTTCTTACATAATCGCCTGATCGCAATTATTTGACCTATTCACAGTTCTACTAAGTTGACAGCAATTATTTCACACAGTTGTTAACTTTCTTAATCATAGGTTTATGAAGCTACAAGCAGAATGTGAATCTGGTGCCTTTTCATCCACTAGGTTGACGAAAATACATGCAAATAAAAGAAAGAACAAAATGCATTTATTGACACATTCTGCGTCTTACAAAAACAACACCTTTGCAGGGCAGCAGTCAGTACTGTTTGTTTATTTGAGCTCAAGCTGTGTCTGTCATCGGTTGGGATCGACTAAGTATCTAAAGCAAGGAACAAGTCACGTAATCAGCCTATTTGACCACTTTCAGCTTGCACTTTAATAAATACACAATCAACAAAAATAAGAGTTAAACTGTTAATCATAATTATTGATAAGCATGTTTTATGTTTGTGACATGCCTAATACAAAAGGCTGAGCATGACCCTGATGCATGTAAATTCCAGAGACTGACGTAGAGGGGAGTGTACTCTATATGCCATGATATGAACTATGTTAGCCAAAAGAACAACATGAGCATGCAACTTACACACTGTACCTTTAACCCTATACGAGTACATTCATCTCAGTGGGAGTAGTGAATGCTGATAAACCCTCTATGGACACAGCCACCAAAGGCTTTAAGAACATTGGGCCTCACTCACCAATATCTTCCTAAGTTTTCTTAAATTTTTTCTTGAGAAAGGTCACGGACACGTTCTTGAACCGCAGAACTGCTCTCACCTTTGTGCTCTTGAGTGTGTGTAGATTCTGTTCTTACCCAAGAACAAATTCCAAGTAATTCATTCAAAAAGAATCTGAACCATAGAAAATGTCCACAAACGAACATACAAACATTTCCTCTGTATAAACTATACCTCTGTAGATTAATCACTATACGCTTTGTCTATGTGATTAAGATGAAATGATTATGAGAATTAAGACATATTTAGAAAGGCAGGGTCCAAGCATAGCAAAGCCAGCAGTGTTTGGTCTCAATTACAGACCAAACCCAGGGTGGAGCCTGGAGACCACTCCATTACAGGCCAGGAATACTGAGGTGCCCAAGTTACAACCCAAAAATATCTGGCACTGATGCTGTAAGTCACCATTAGGTCCTTCTCACTCTCTCTGAAGGTTTACTAATCAAATAAAATCAAACCCAAAACAGTTCTGCTGTTGTTACGATGTAAAACTTGGTGCTATATAGAACCATTTTCAAAAAGGTTCTGTATAAATCCCCACAGAACACATTCTCCATCAATATGAAGAATCATTTCACCATGCAAAGAACCATTTGAGCATGAGTGCTAATAGCAAGCAGTTCTAAACAGAACCATTGCCTTTACTAAAAAACCCTTCAAAACCCATCTTTTTAAAGGTCCAGAGCGCCAAACTCTGATTTCTGTAACCAGTACAACTCTACTTTCTCAGCTGAACATGCTAGCTGGCCGTTAATCCAGCCTGATTTATACAGCCCGCCTTGGAACTGCCATCACTTCGTGATTTATTCCTGCATGTGTATCTCCTTCGCAGCTACTGGAGGTCACTTCGAGACCAAAAAACTGAATGAACACCCCGTAAATCCCCCCAAGGTCGCCGAGGAACTGTCGTGTTGAGTTTTCAGGAATGTAAGTGTTGTACTTGTGGCCGAAAGCCTTGACACTGACACACAGGTTTGTTGTTGTTGTCATTATGAGAGGGCAGTGACGTGGGCAGCCGTGCGTCAGCAGCATAAAAACACAAAAAATAGCAACACAGCATACGTTACAGCGAATGGGAACAACTGGAAAACCCCGCTGCACTGACACGCAGAAAGATGAAGCTTTACCTCAGTCTGTGACATTACCCGAGTCGGCACTTAACAAAGGTGACTTTTCACATTTAAGTAACCTTATCAGAGCGATGTCTTGTGATTTAATAAATCTTACCTTCAGAATATCTGCCCCCGGGTGGTGGAATTCGTCAGCTCGTCTGCTGAAGGTGCAGCAGGTTGGGAATCCTCCAGATGTGCCGGTGCGCTGCTGTAGAGTGATCCGCTCTGGAGAGGCAGGCATGGTAAGCCCCGCCTCTGCTGGGTCAGGATTGGCTAGCAGCGAATAGCTGCTTATGAGGGTGAACTGATAGCCGTTCGTAGCGGAGGACGCAGGACGGTGCTGGCCAATCCTGACACAGAGAGTCCAGCTTTGCCGGAATATGGGTGGAGAAAAAATAAACCCACCCGATTCTCGACTAAAAGCCTGCAGCCCCACATGCAGCAATTAGTGTGGAAGTCTCTAGCGCCCTCTATTGGACTGAATCGAGCACATCGATTGTTTAACATGGCACATAACCTTATTACTGAGGAGAAAGCGATGGAGTGGGGAATTTGGAGGGATAGTTTTTACCACTGTACAGATGCGTGACGTCACTGGTTATGATAAAACTGCGTTATACTGAACTTGTTTCTTCTTTTGATTATGTGCAATAAAGGGGCAATATCCCACATATTTCTTGCATTTTATGTTCCCCTGAGGTCCACTTGCAATATGTGTCTTTTTATCTACTAAAAGCAGTCATAATTCAATTTTACATTACCATTTTCCAATTTCTCTTCATCCCTTAGAATTAAACAGGCTTTTTTGTTACTGCGCTTTTAGGACTAATATATCTAAATTAGCTCTGAGGGACTGTACTGTGCCTCGCTCAAAAGCAGGACTGAAACAGTTCTTCTAATTTCAGTGTGAGTGGGCAGATCTAAACAACTGTAGGCTAAATAGGCAGATATACACTGATCAGCCTTAACATCAAAACCACCTCCTTGTTTCTACACTCTTTGTCGAATTTTATCAGGTCCACTTGACATAGGTGCACTTAGTAGTTCTAGATTTACAGGAAGGGGTGTACGTGAACCGCAGAGATGTCAAGTTGACATCCACATGAAAGCCACCAGCTTGTCTTCTTCCCACAGTGCATCCTGGTGCCTTCACTTCCCCAGATAAACTGTGCACATGTACCTGGTCATCCATGTGATTTTGGAGTTTTAAAACACCTCAGTATCACTGCTGGACTGAGAATAGTCCACCAACCAAAACATATCCAGCCAACAGTGTCCTGTGGGCAGCGTTCTGTGACCACTGATGAAGGACTGGAGGATGACCAGCACAAACTGTGCAGCAACAGACTGTCTCTGACAAAGTGGACCAACAAGGTAGGAGCGTCTAATAGAGTGGACAAAGTGTTTAAAAACTCCAGCAGCACTGTTGTGTCTGATCCACTCATACCAGCACAACACATACTAACACACCACCTCCATGTCAGTGTCACTGCAGTGGAGAATGATCCACCACCCACATAATACCTGCTCTGAGGTGGTCCTGTGGGGGTCCTGACCACTGAAGAACAGGGTAAAAGGGGGCTAACAAAGTGTGCAGAGAAACAGATGGACTACAGTCTGTTATTGTCAAACTATAAGTGCATCTGTATGGTAAGTGGAACTGATAAAATGGACAATGAGTGTATGGCTGATTGGAACATAAATGTGTTGAGTTTGGTGCCGTCACAAAAACAATTAAGTCAAATCAGGCTGTTTTTGCAGCTTAGTTTCCACATATGAACCGAGACGTGGACAGGATAATTGAAACTTTAACAATGTTTACATACTACATCACGCTTTTTATTAAAAACAAAAACAAATTCAGTTTTCCGTGAAAGGGCCCTTAAACTCATACAGCTGTCCTGTAGACAGAATCTGGGTAGAGAGTGGCTGACAAACTTCAGGACCACTGAAAGGCTGCAGTGTGTAATTGTACACTTGTATAGTGGAGCGTTTATTATTCGCCACGGTACGGGCTTTCGGTATGTTTGCATTGAGCCACTAGGGGGCGATACCAGCCTTGACAATTACAAATGCACAAAAGGAAACGTGCTAAATAGCGTCAAACAGCAACTGAGCTTCCTGCTAAAGTAGGAGCTTTTAGGAAGAAGGAAGCAATTCTGCAACACATGAAGAGAAAGTGCTTTACTTCAACTGATGTACAATACAGATTTTTTCAGGCGGACTAACGTTTATTAAAGACAATGTAGGACTCTCTACGTTTTCTAAGGATATAACCCAGCATATGTGTTTACATAGCATGCCGTTCCAGCTCGGTGTGATGGTGGTGCCCTTTTCTACCTTACGATGAGAGAAAGAATGAATTATGAAATTTTCTAATGCTGCAGCTAGGAATACCCACGGTGTAACATTTCTTTCCAAACACCCTTTTCTGTCGTTCTGAGTCGCCTCAGGATGAGGGATGATCTCTCATTCACATACTCTTTGTTCACATGCCATCGCTCTTTCAGGGGAAAGCCCTCCTCACCGTCCAATGGCTGCCAAGCATTTGTCTGCTAAAACTGGGGACAGCTTGAATGTGATTGGTCAGCACTCATAATCCTTGTTGCTGGCAAGGGGCAGCAGTAGGATTCTGTCACACTGGGATTTCTCAAGCACGCCATCATCATCATTACCATCACATTATTATCACCATACATGTCTCTCTTGCTGTCATGTTGCGAATGAATAATGTGGACAATAAAAATTAGCACAGGGGTTGGATTATATACTGTGTTTATTGGCCCTTTATATCCTTAGGAAGATTCAGACAGGGTCCTTCAGTTTGTCCCTATATAGTGCTTTATAGACGTTCTGTAAAGAAGCGTCAAGAAACCTGACATATGATCAAGTAAAAACGGGTAATTTCTTTACTAATTTATGTTCCAACCTAAAGATATGCTTATATAGCATAAGACCACCAGCTTCTCAAACCATTCTGGAGAGTTATCACTAACATGAAGGAATATGAGTTATCAAACTGCTAGAAACTATATGGAATCACTCAAGGTGTATACATGTCTCAATGAATCAGAGTCCCACAGTGCAATTGAGCATGCTTAAACCTTTATAGAAAGACTTTAGGGCATGTCATGCCAAAAAAAATTATATAGCATGTAAACTTTGTTACAGTTCCAAAATGTCCCATTCACTCCTCATTTATACCATCCAAGTATGGAAATAAAGCTGCCTATTTGGCTTACAGCAGCCTCACTCATTCACGCTGAAGTTAAAAGGAGTGTTACAGCCTGGACTGCTCTTTACATGAGGTGCAGCATAGGACACTGAATAAGAATAGAGCTAATTTACATAAATAAGTCTGAAACAGTATAGGACAACCAAGTTTTGAACAATACAGGACAGCCAATCTGGACAGAGGTCATTTCTATATATCAATCTTACATAAAAACAGCCTGTTTAATTCTAAGGGACAAACACAGGTTATAAAATGGTGATGTAAAAATGAACTACGACTGTTTTTGATACAAAATCACAAAAAGTCCTCATAGAAAAAAAAAAAAAATCAGAAAAATGCAGGATATGGGCCCTTTAAGTTTTCGTGTCATGTCTGTCACAAATGTTTATAGGTATTTTGACAAATCATATGCAACTTATCAGGTTAACTTGAAGTTAATTTCTTGTTTCTTGTTAACTTTTTTGGTACATGTATATAGTTGTTTTGGAGACATACAAGAACATAAAAGTGGCATAAAAGACAAGACACATACTGTATATACATGTACACTGATGAGCCGAAATATTATGACCACTCACAGATTAAGTGAATAATCTGGATTGTGTTATAACAACAGTGCACGCCAAGGTCTGTGTTATATTAGATTGTAAACAAAAAATCAGTTCTCGTAGTCAATGTGTTGGATGTGAGAGAAATGGGCAGGCCTGATAACCAGATTGTTATGACCTGATGACTGGGTTGGAGCATCTCCAAAACAGCAGGACTTGTGGGGTGCTCCCAGTCAGAAGTGGCAAGTTCATACCTTTAGTGGTCCGAGGAGGGAGCGCACAAGGCTCATTGATGTGCAAGACCAAAAAAGCTATCTCATCTGTTCTGAACTGACAGAAGGTCTACTGTCACAAAAACATTGAATGATGGTTACAAGAGGAATGTGTCACAACACACAGTTCATCACACCCTGCTGCGTATGGGGTTGAGGAGCCAAAGACTGGTCAGAGTGCCCATGCTAACCCCTGTCCACCGTCGAAAGCACTTACAATGGGCACATAAGCATCTAAACTAGACCTTGGAGTAATGGAATAAGGCCAACAACCTTATGTGAAGTGAAGGCACCAGGATGCACTGTGGAAAGAAGACAAGCTGGTGGCATTCATGTGGATGCCAACTTGACATTGCTGTGTTTCAAGTACACCCCTTCATTACAATACAATGACCTAAGGGCAGTGGCCTCTTTCAGCTGGATAATGTGCCCTGCCACACAGCAGACATTCTTTGGACATGATTTGAGGAACATGACAATGAGTTCAAGACGTTGCTCTGGCACCAAATTCCCCAGATCTTAATCCTATTGATCTGTGGGCATGTGCTGGAACAACAAGTCCGATCCACAACAGCTCCACCTTGCAATTTGCAGGACTTAAAGCATCTGCTGCTAATGCCTATTCGGCTTACAGCAGCACAGGGCACCTTCAGAGGTCTTGTAGACTCCATGTCTGGGTTGGTCAGAGCTGTTTTGACAGCACTCGGAGGACCAACAGCATATTAGATGTGTACCTTACTATTGCATTTCCAGTAGAGTGCATCTTCACTAATCACAAGACATTACTTGAAATTACACCTAGTAGATCACATTCTGAGAGATGATCTTCAGTCATGTATTTTCAAAAAGATGATCTAGTACTGTTTCCCATTAGACCATGAAGAAGGATAGAGCAACCACTAATTGCAAATGCATATTGTAATTCTGGGGGAAAAAAGGCTCAACCAGAGCCACTTTGTGATCCCAAGTAAATCTTAATTCCAGACAATTTTAATGCATATTCAACCAATCTGTCCATTAGCAGTCTACAAAAGAGGTGGCAATGAGCTTAGGCATTTAATGATGCTTAGTCCTCTCTCTTAAAATCGCCTTAGATGTGGCACTGAAAAAAGGGAGTGTTTGAAATTCATCACATCAAGAAATGAAAAATAGCTTAAGTGAGCTTTACTCTGCTTGATTGTTATTCAATTATTAATCTAAAGACTTATTATTCAGTAACTGCTATGAATAATTCAGTTACTATGAAACTAATATGTAAATGATGCAGTTACGAGAATGAGGAACTTAAGTATTGACTCACCAATGAGTGCTTGGAGTTAAAGTGTAACTGAATTAGTCTTGGCTGCCTCTTTTATATCTAAAGTAGGTCTCATCTAAATAAGATTGTTTGACACTTTAAACATTTCTAAAATAGTTAGAATGCCCTGCTGTGTAAGAAAGCAGGGGGCATTTACAAACAGGCCTTCAGTCCATCATTACACATCTATGATTGATCAATATGGGTCATACATTATACAGGCTAAATATAGGCTAAACAAGGTCACTATTGATTCTGATTACTGCTCAATTCATACTTCATAAATACAATAACAATCACCTGAACATAAGCTTTCATTTTCACATAGGACCAGTTCTCAGTACTCAGAACCCAATTGTTAGACAATAAACTGCAAAACTGATCTGAAATCAGAATAAAGGCATCAATTTACCCAGTGTTGGATTGATAATGTTTTAATGGGCCCAAATCATTTTAAGACTGCCTTTCAGTTAAAGGGAATTCCAGATTTTTAAAAAATGTGTATAATTGAATTATTAAGATGTAAACAAAGTAATTCAGAGTGGTTTGATGTAAAATGCTCTGTTCTAGAGAAACTTACCAAGTCAGGATTGTTCAGTGGTGGCTATAGGAGCCAGATGTCCAAAGCATTTAAATATGTTCTTTTACACTAGTTTTGAGATTTCGGCCTAAAAGATATGCCTATTTTTTAGATCCATTCTTGGCAGAGAGGTACACGCAGGGTGTTGCACCTAACAGTACCTGAAGAAAACCTATTTTTCACGATTACCTACTGTTTTACCTTTGTCAACATTACAAACTCGTAAGACACTTAGGTTCAAATGGCTGTATTTGCATTGTAGACATAGTCAGTGTGACCTCTGGTTCCTATCACCACCACTGAACAGAACCCGAGTTGGTAAAGTTTATCCACAATGAACCATTTCACTTCAAACCACTCTGAATGACTTGTTTACAACTCGATAAATGAATTCTGCAGAAATGTAAAAAAAAATCGGCGTAATTCCCCTTTAATGTGTAAACAAATCCACAAAGAAACACAAAAGAGGAAAAAAACAAATTGCCAATGGGGATGATAGCGCTCATTTTTTCATGTAATATATTTTCGGATTTGCAGGTGAGCTTGATAACAGCAGCGTTTCATACATTTGTTCTATCGTATCTTGAGCTACTACAGTAGCGCCGAGCCAGAACTCGACCAATCAGAGTGAACTCGTTTGTTTGCTCTTGTGGCTGAAAAACGGCGCCTTGTTTTCAGATTAGTTGTTTCTTCGCCTCAGTATCTTTGCTCCACATCGTGTTTTAGGGTAGAAAAGTAAGATGAAGAAACAGAAACATGAAAATGAAAAGCTAAGTTAGTCTCCTAGTGATGAGAAGAAAAGCATGCGGTCGAGCCTCTCCCCCACTACACCCCCCGCCATTTCTCCTCCCCTCACTCTCGATGTGCGGCTCGTAAAAGAATCTTTCATGTGAATCGGTTCTTCTCGATCATTTGGTCGAACCGAATCACAAGTCCAAATGAATCCAGCGTTCTTGTGGCATCTACAGTGTTCATGTCCGCGTTATAGAGTAAACATCTTTAACAAACCTTCTGTAGAATGGAGCTGTCTTTCTCTTTCTGCGGTGGTTTGCGCGCTTGTACATGCTGACTCTGTTAGCGAGTAGAAGTGTCAGATATCAGACTCACTGAACTGAGCTCATCATGAAGAAGATGAGAAAGCTGACTTGTCTAATCGGTGTATGTGAAGGAGATGAGAATTAAGTTGACTAATTTTAACTTGCTCGATAAGAACCAGCTAAGTTATTCCATGAGATAGTTATGAATACATTTCCAGATTTTAAATCAACTAATGGTGGACAGGTACATACGTTGTAATGCAAAATAGTCTCCAGTTAAAATTATATGTTCAAATTTACGACTATTTTACCATAGCAATGTTACATCCCTGTTAAAAAAATAGCATAGACCTAAGCTGGTTTATACTGGTCTGGTACTGGTGTACCCGGTCACCCAGCATCCAAAACACAACTTTTTTACAAGTAAACCATTCTGGTCTATGCTGGTTTTCTAGAAGGGATGTAAACTCTGAAAACATATGTAGGTTTGTGTATTTGTACAGTCATTGACCGCTGGTTCCTAGCAGGGCAGGTTAAGTTTCTCTACACACCAAATGACTTCGGTTACCTCTCAGCGATTGAATTACGCTGAAATTTGGATGGAATTATTCTTTAATTAGAACCAAATGGGTTTGCTGCGCATTAAACGTAGTATGAATGCTGTCGGCATAGTATTTGTGGAACCCAAATGAACCGCTGAATCGGTTTTATTCATTGAAATGGACAGTTCGAAAGAATCGGTTCGAAAAAACTGAATCGCATTTCTCGTCTCTACCACTCCGCCTGGCGCTGCCGCCCTCCTGCCTATCAGCGAGAAGGGCGGGGCGTCGGAAGAGGGGGAGAGAGATAGAGAGAGAGAGAGGGAGAGAGAGAGAGAAAGGGAGAGAGAAAAAAAGGGGGAGAGAGAGAGGCGGACAGAGAGAGCCATTCAGCCTTGTGCTCTATGCTCTCCACTGAAGCCGATGTTCAGCGCTCTAAACAGCCTCCGTCGGACTCAGACGAAGCACATGGACGGAACTAGGAGTTCTCCTGCGCCGGTACACAGCCAGGAAGAGCCGTAGCCTGCCGAGCTAACCGCGCTGAGCTGCTGGTGGCAGTGGCAGTGGTGGGGGTTAACGCTGGTGTACCACCGGGCTGAGGGACCGAGCGGTCTGATGCTGCAGAAAATTCGCCATTGTTCGGATGTGCGAGGCGCCGCGCAGCAGCGTTGGGAATCGAGCAAAAGTAGCACAAGACCGCCCTTTCGACGCAGAGCGAAGCTAGGATGACTGCAGCACTGCCCTGCGTCCTTTTCCTCCTCCTCAGCATCCAGGTAGGTTACCGTCTTTTTTCCTCACAGCGTTTTTTCCCTCCCCTCAGATGAAGTGGAGGAGGGGGGAGGAGGAGGAGGAGGCATATACCTCCTCTGTCTAGTTTGCTATCACCAAGCAGGCGTTTCTGAGGAAAATTGCTTGCTAAGTGTCCATTTGAGTCGGCTGCGTCTGTTTGAAAATTTTCCCCGGAGCTAAACTGACCACTTCTCCATCTTCTCCATCTCCAGCCTCCTTTAATGTAGCATTAGAGTTGATCGTATTCGCCTTTCGCCATGCGGTTCCCCATAGGCTGATGTTTCTTGAGGCAAAATTGGGTCATTCCAGCTGAAGCTCTCTGCCCGAGTGTCTGCTTCTGCCACTGCGAAGTATCACACTGACCAGAGACATTTCTGAGCCGTCTGGAAGTGGAGAGGGGTAGAAATGTTGATTTTGAAAGTCTTTTTCTCCTCAGTGTCTCAGCAATACAGCATGATAAAGATGTCCAGATGACTGAACTGAACTGCTTTGGCAGGAGAAGATGGAAAGGCCCAGTGCTCATTTCACAGCATACAGAGCTGAGAAGCAGTGCTCACTTGTAGAATAAATTAAAAGTCCCATCTCTTTTAATCTCAAGTCCAGCTTTAAAATCAGTTTATTGTCCATATTGCTCACATCTTCACTCTCAGTAGTTTCAGTTTCATTCAGATGAGAGTGGGTTAGAAGAAATAGATTGTTTCCCATAATCTCTCACTTTATCTCAATAAACCATATTAAATTCAGTTTGTCATCCTGTAAAAAGTGAAGACACATGTTCCTTGTTGTTGACTACCATCAACTGAAAAGTTAGTTTCAGTGATGTTCAGCTTTGAAACCTCAACATCCCTTTTTTAGGTTAAATCAAAGCTTCAGCGTGGTGAGTTTTATCACCCAAAATAGGATGTTGTGTTGCTTTTGAAGGAAATATTTTAGCAAGTGAGAACATTTCTGCTGTGAAAAGGTGACCAATCACATATAATAAGTACATTCCAGATAGGCACAAAAATAGTGCCTTGTATTTAAGTGATTTTGCTTTGTGTCATGTTTGAAAATAAATGAAAAAAATGACATCATCACACTTATTACCAAAAATAAAAAAATGAAAGGCAGTAACCGTATTGATGCGTAATCAGTGCGCATTGGAATCAAGTCCAACACACTATTTTTTCGGTATGTAGGCCTCAATAACAGTTTAGTGGTGTTGTTTGAAAATATGCTGAATACGTTCAGCCCTGAATTTACTCTCTTTCAAAGCCCTGGTTCAGGAATTTCTCTCAGGATTTGTTTGGTTGCATCTGCATGTGTCAAAGATGTTAAGGGACTGCAGCTGATCTTGAACCATACGGCACAGCCTGCCTACTCATAAACAGATACCTTTCTCTTTGACAAAGATGTCGCATTGAACTGAAATCTGTTTTTTTTCTGTTATGTTAATTTACTAAATCCTGCAGAAGTTGTAAATTGTCACAAATATTACTAGCGCTACTAATAATCTTCTGTACAACAAATTAGCTGCTTTTCAAAATCCCCATAATAGTAATAACTTTGACTTTGCTGAAATGCCCTGACGACTGTCACTATTTTTAGGTGTTAAAACCATGTTTAAGGCCATCTCCCTGGTGGTGACATCATTGTTCACAATCACACCTGAGCCTGGTAACCATGGTGACAAGGCTCAGCAAATGAGTCAGGCATTAATAATCAAGCATGGCCAGGGCTAAGACTGATTTGGGGTCAGTCTTCAAAGATGATTGTTTGTTACTGCTGTATGGATCATAACAGCCACAGCTTCTGTAAATCTGAAATAGTGACCAGTAGCTGTGAGATATCAGTCTCCAGCACCCTGTCACTCAAAGTGTGGCATTTAGAGCAACAAACCAACATAGAAATCAAAGCAGTTCATATTATAAATCCTTTCAATGCAGATAGATCATGATAACTCTTTTGCCAGTTTATAGGTTATAAGCATTACAGATGTTACTTATCCACATATCCAAGAAAGTGTATGGTCATTTCAAAAGTAGTTAATACTGCACTTGGTGCTAATATGTTTAGCTACTAGTTTATAGTGTACAATTTGTAGCATAATTTGTAACCTCAAAAAGGCAGAATATTTAGCCAGATGACTTTGGCCCAGAGCCTGGCCTGTCCAGTAAGAGAAGAAGTAAAGGATGTTCTTATTCAGCGTGTTCTTTAATCAGCTTTACTGAAAAATTCTGTCATGTCAAATCTTCTGAAGTTTATCCAAACGTATGCTAACAGCCCTTGTAATTAATGAGGCCAAGTGTCAACTAGAGGGGAATTAAGACCCCCAGCAGTGGGTTGTGAAGCGGTGAAACTGTGTTCTCTGGAGTGATGGTGCTCCATTCAGTACCTTTGGGATGAGTTGAAGTGGAGTTTGTGATCCAGAACTAAACATCCATCATCAGTGCTTGGCTACACTAATGGTCATGTCCTGAATGCAAAGACATTCTCACAGCAATGTTCCAACAGCTAGTGGAAAGTCTTCCCAGAACAGTAGAAGCTGTTATTGCATCAAAGCTTGAGAAGCACTCAATTATATCCTTGATTTTAGAAGAAACGTTGGATAAGTAGGTGTCTACAAACGTTTGAACATATAGCGTATGTATAGTAAGTTGTTGTCATTTCATACAGGCGTTTTGTGATCATGTTCACATGGTGTTCATTGGTGGACTCAAAGTTGTGGAAAATTTAGGCCTTAATTGACAGGTTTGTACAGGAAATGCAAGACCACCTTGCAGCAAAATTACCAAGAAAAGTGTTTTATCTTATATTACAATTATTTCATACGTGTTCCCAAAGAACAGCTTACTATGGAAGCCCAACAGCATCAGCTTCATCGTGATGTGAAGGCAGTGGAGGCATAGCAGAGTTAGAGCTGCTACATGTGCAGTCATGTGGAATGTTATTGTAGCTAACCCAATAGCCGGCCATTAGAGCAGATATGATCTCATTGCTTTCATGGCAGAAGAATCTGCTCTAATGCACCTGCATTAGACATTTCACATATATCTCCCACTCAACACAGTGATCATTCCAAAAGTCATGGAATTTCTTACAGTCTAGGATACTCGCTGCATGTGCATATTTGCTAAAAGATCATACAAAGGTTTGAGACAGTTGTGAATAACTATCTCAGATAGCTTTTAGATTTATATGGAATGATTCAGAGTGATATGACTTGACCTTATCTGGGATAGAAACATTTCAAGACATACCTGGTAAAATGTGAGGTGGCCCTTGTAAGGGTGAAGCAGCAGTTCACAAACACAAGTTATGTGACTGTTATTTAAACAAAGTGATTATTTTTAAATGTAGTAGTGCTTAAAATAATCCCCAAATTCTCTTTGTAGGGTTTGTGGTTGGAGTGTCAACCGGTGTGAATGTGTGTGTGTGTGTGTGTGTGGTGTGTGTGGTGTGTGTGTGTGTGTTTAAACTCTCAGCTGGCAAAGTTGTGCCCAGAATAAGAATGCATCCTTTTGATTCATTCACTTCTCGCACAGTGACCTCACTGGTCTTAAATTAATATCTACAGAGTACATTTATAACTGATGTACTTGCACCATATCCAGATGTACAATGTAGGTGTTAATTTAACATGGGTAATTTTGCTCAGTCTGATCGGACCACTTCAGGCTGATTCAGAGCCCGTCAGTCCTACTGCCAGCTACAAATACTATTGCAGTTAGAACTGAGATTTTAGAGTGGAATTGGCAGAAATTCAAAATAAGGTGTCCATTCAATGAAGAACTCATCTTGCTTATTTACTTCTGATTTATTTTGGTTTTGATTGAGAAGTTTTTGATTTAGTGATTTCTTCTATATGAGCACTTTCAGGAGTGGAAAAGCTTAGTTGAATGTTTTCCATTTAGACAGTATCTCCTTTGTATAGGGGTTGCTTGTACATTAATTACATTGTGTTGCGTAATAAAGGGACTGGGCCGTCAGTGCCAGTCATTGCTGAAGAAGAGACGTATTTAGTTGTGGTCTGCTGACAGTATGATCTCTGCATTTAGGTAATCTGTACATCAGGACAAAACATGTATTTTACCTCCTGCATTGATTAATCTGATCATTTCCAGCATTCATCTGACAGAGAATCATTGTTCACAGTACATATTTTGACTAGCAGCCTGAATGCAGTTTTATGGGTGCCATTTTTGCTGGATTTGTTGGTCCCTGGAGGTAATGCTGTAAATGTATGTGGGCTAATTCCAGAGATTTATCATTTTTACGATGTATTTAAAAGCTATAATGCATGTCAGAGAACCACTAATGCGTTGATGGAAGGATTGTGGAAGCGTTTGAACGTGCCTGTTTTATGCTGATAGGATAGAATTTAAAGATGTGTTGATGCACATTTGAGAAAAAAAACAACTAAAACATGCAGTACATTACAGTTATGACACTGCATAAAGAGTGCACTGTTTTGGTAGATCTAGATGATTTGGTGTGCAGGAGTTCCTAGAATCTTCCTAGAAATTGAAGACTCAAGTCTAATATTAGAACTCATAGATGCTTTGCTGTCTGTCAGGACAAGATAGGCTAAAAGATGTTCTTAAAGTTTTAACATTAGATTTAAAATTGAAAAGTAGAATTATTGCTTGCAACCCAGGAACAAATCCACTGAACTTAGTTAGGGTAAAAATATAACATAACTATACATGAACATTGACATTTTCATCATACCCAGTATCTTTCTTGGTTCAACATTTGCAAAAATAAACTTGGGGCTGCTACGATTAATCAAAATAAAGAGCTAAGCTGATGCTGTAAATACATAGATTTGAGGGATTCACAGTGATATTGGACTTTATACCGTTATCGGCAAATATTTGCTTAAAATATCGGCATAGCACAGATAATTATAGTTGACTGATATTTCAAACTGATACTTGATGATGTCTTTTTTCAGCAGTGCACTGGCGAAAACCTTGTTATGTTTGGCAAAGATTGGTGGCTA